GCTTAATATGATGATTTCGATATCCCTGCATATTGCTAAAAATGGCATTATTTCATTCTCTCTTATAGCAGTGTAGTATTGCATTGTTTTCATCTATATATTATACATCTTATTTATCCATTCATCTGTCAATGGACATTTAGGTTGCTTCCATCAACAATTATTTTTATCTGTAGCCAACTATATTAATAATGGCTCTTTCATTTAAAAAATAAGAAGAAGATTTTTTTTGTTGTTGTTGTACATCTCAATTTTTATTTTTTTTTTAATTTTTATTTTTTTCATTTATTTTTATTAGTTGGAGGCTAATTACTTCACAACATTTCAGTGGGTTTTGTCATACATTGACATGAATCAGCTATGGAGTTACATGTATTCCCCATCCCGCTCCCCCCTCCCTAAAAAATAATAAGAAGATTAACTATCAGCTTCATAAGCTTACAGAGAAGAAAATTTAAAAGCATGAAACTTAAAAAAATAATAAAATAAAATAAAAGCATGAAACTTACCAACGAGTCTAAAAATAAGACAAGCTCAGATACCAGGATAGGAAATCCTGTCTTTTAAAAAATTATTATTGTCTATTTTTCTGATATAGCAATGAATCACATGAATAAATCCATATATGACAAAATTAAAAACAAATATAAAATGTTTATTGAAAGATGTGAAATGTACATACATTTGTAGATTTTTGAGGAAATATTTTAGGTAAAATTCTTGAGAACAGTTTTTTGACAAAGCACTTTTACATCCTATAAATGTGAAATGACAGAATTTATGATTCCCATGGAAAACTTGTCTCTTTAACTGAGAGAGATTATCTGATTTCTGAAGGAAGTCAGAATTGTTCATTAATAACCTAAAAATATGTTCTGATGGTTGGCATTATGGCTCTGTCAACAAAGCCAGAACAGATTAGAGCAGATTCATTTGATAATAGGGCAGTGTGCCTTTGTGGGAAAGTCATCCAAGAAATGCACAGCACAGTAAGAAAGAATGTAGCCACCTACCTTACTAGCCAAACCAACCAAATTAATTGTTGATGAGGCAGGTGATAAAACCAGCCTTCTCACACAATCTTCAGTGTCTTTTTTTAACCATTTTTAATTGAAGTATAGTTAATTTTCAGTGTTGTGTTAGTTTTATGTACATAGCAAGGTGATTCACTTATAGAGCAAAGTGATTCTGTTATACAAACACATACATATATATGTATTCTTTTTCAGATTATTTTCCATTATATATTATTGCAAGATATTGAATATAGCTCCCTGTGCTATGTAGTCCTTGTTGCTTATATATTTTAAATATAGTAGTGTATATATATATATATATAATCCCAAACTCCTAGTTTATCTCCCTCCCCTACCTGCTACCCCCTTTGGTAATTATAAGTGTGTTTTCTGTATCTGTAAGTCTGTTTCTATTTCATAAATAAGTTCATTTGTATTTTTTAAAGATTCCATATATAAGTGATATCACATGATGTTTGTCTGACTTCTTTCACTTAGTATGATAATCTCTGGGTTCATCCATATTGCTGCAAATGGCATTATTTCATTATTTTTTATGGCTAAGTAATAGTCCGTTGTGCATTGGAATCTTCTTTATCCATTCATCTATTGACAGGCATTTAGTTGGCTTCCATGTTTTAGCTATTGTAAATAGTGCTGTAGTGAACATTGAGTTAGTGGTGATCTGGTCACTAAGTCATGTCCGACTCTTATGACCCCACAGACTGTAGCCTGCCAGGCTTCTCTGTCCATGGGTTTCTCCAGGCAAGAATACTAGAGTGGGTTGCCATTTCCTTCTTCAAGAACATTGAGTTGCATGTATCTTTTTGAATTTTGGTTTTCATTGGATATATGCTCAGGAGTGGAATAGCTGGATCATATGGAAGCTCTATTTTTAGTTTTGTAAGGAACCTCCTTACTGTTCTCCATTGTGGCTGCACCAGTTTGCTTTCCCACAACAGTACAGGAGGATTCCCTTTCCTCCACTCCCTCTTCTCCAGCCTCTTAAACACCTCTCTGTGCACCATACTGTATTAGACAGCAAATAGAAGAATCTTCCAACCCATCCCTAATCGTTGAGAATTTATCATCAAATGAGACAGTTATTAGTACAACTCAAAGACTGGCTTTTTATCAATACATGGCAAATAAATTATTTTTTTTTCCTATCTTGCTTTTTGCCAAATGAAGAGCACCATTTCTCAAAGTATATTCTGAGATGTATCAGCCAGTGTGAAAAGACGATACATAAAAAGTTCCCATGGGTAAACACATTGGGAACACACTAGTTAAACAGAGTGAAATGGAATTTTTTGGTTCAGGGATCTTAAGAAACTAATGTGCTTGGGAATTCCCATGACTGGAGTATGGTATGTGGTATTCCCCTGCATATTTTATCTTAGGTCCCTTTTGTAGGAATCGTAATGTAGGACTGATGGTTTGTCTTCTCTGTCACTAAATACATGCCTGATATGTGGGTTTTCCTAATGACTCAGCAGTAAAGACTTTGCCTGCAATGCAGGAGATGCGGCTTCTATCTCTGGGTTGGGAAGATCCCCTAAGGAAGGAAATGGCAACGCACTCCTGTATTTTTACCTGGGAAATCCCATGAACGGAGGAGCCTAGTATGCTTCAGTCCTTGGGGTCACAAAGACGCAGACACGACTTAGCAACTAAACAACATGAAGCCTGATACTAGGAGACACTCAAATAATATCTATGGAATAAAATAATGAATTTGGCAGTTGCCTGATGACCTCTTAGTTGTCTGCTCACCCTTTATAGCACCATAGGAGGATAAGTGAGGACTCTTCCTCCACCTGATGCTGGGTGCATTGCTGACTGTTCAAGCTGGCACCAGCCCGAGTTCTCCGTATTTCTCTTTGACATGGCAAGGGCAGAGGGCAATCTGGAGACACTCCATCTGGCCTGGTCTACTCTCTCCATCCTACCCTCTTCCCCCAACAACCTTCTAGGCTCTTCCCCATCTTCCTTGGGGAGTGTACAAAGGTGGCTGTGCCAGCCAAAAGCTTGGGTTAATTGGGTTAATGCCCCCGCATGTGGAAAGTGAGTCACTTCTCAACAGAAAAAGAGGGAGGCTGGTGCGCCATGTGGGGGTCAGAAGCCCACTGCTGAGCACTGCGGGGCCAGAGAGCTTTCCTTTTACTTGCACTTTACTTGACCTGTGGATAAACAAAGACTTTCTATTTCTAGAAAGCCCATTGTTTTAACTGCTTTGAGTTTCTTTTATAAGCTTAAAAACCCATGGCTTAATGCAAGATGTTTAAAGGTCTGTGGGCCCAGTCTCAACGTTTGTTTTCCTTTTCTGTATTCCCCTTACGTATTTTGTTCTTCTGTGCCACAAACTCTTAGCTATCCAAAATCCAGCCTTTTCTTTAACAGTGCCTGGCATTAAAAAACAACTAAAAGGTTGTAATGTGTGTAGAATGTTCAATATTGTAGAAAACTTGATAAATGTAACCTCTTAAGGAAGAAATTGAGAGCATATGATTCTTCTTTCTCATTCAGCTGGCTATGAGCTCTGGGCCTTGGAGCATTTAAAAACATCATCAAAGTAAACAGCATTTCAGTCCCTGTCCTTAAGGAGACTTGGAATAGACAGATAAAATGATATTTACAAAATACCTACTGTGTTCCAGACTATATGTCTGCTTCATATGCATATCTATAGTCATACTTACATCTGCTAACAGCAGTATTGTGAGTTAAAGTGTTGGTTTCACTGTTTTACAAACAAGGAAACTAAGAGTCGGAGAAGCTAGAGAATGTCTGAAATTCATTTGTTGAAATTAAATTCTCCCAAAGACAGGATGATAATGTTAAGGTTCAGAGAAATTGGCTAGCTTTGGGGATTCTTTTACTTAAATGAAATTCTTTCAGTGATAGATAGGATGGTAATGTATAATGCTGGAAAGATGTGAAACAGAGAATCCCACAGAGTTTCTGAATATGCTGATGAGTTTAAAAATACCTGTCTTTCTGTTGTCTTCTGAAATGCCCTCCTGATCTTTGACCTTCCGTTACTTACTATACTTCTCAGAAGCCTCATTTCTTTGTCATCAAATCAGAATGGTAGCATCCTCTTTGCCCCTATTATAAGTTTGGGGTGATGGAATAAATAGTAAAGTTTAGGGGAAAGTGAAATTCTTCAGTGCCATGCAAATATAAAGGATTCATTTCACAAATAGAGTTCTAAATGAGCACGCCTGTGATGTGTTTGGGATACGTGTTATATTCCTCTAATTTTTTAGCAAATGTAGGTTTGGGGAGTGCTTCCACTGAATTGTGGCTCAGTTTTCAGATAGGATGAAAATCGAATAATTTCTAAAATAATCTCTAATTCAGTCAATTTCTAAAAATTTTCAAAATCAAGAGGAAATGTTGGGGGGATGTTAATAAACATTTATGGGACACTCACAAAATATAGCATTAGCTGTAGATAGTGTGAAGGATATTAAAGGATGGAAAGCATGATTTCTGACCTAGAAAGTTGAAAAAATACAAGATAGTGCCTTCTTATCTGTGGTACTCATCCAACATACTCACTTTGCCCGAGGGAAATCCAGATCAGATTTTAATATAATAAAATCTTCTTTAGAGCATTATAAGTTATTTTCTTTTTGTAATTCTACACAATTGCTCCAGTTTAAAATATGAAGATGAAGGATCAGGTTTTAAAATTAAAAATGAACACTTGTAAATTCATTTTTCAATATGTCAAAATTCATGTATTTTTTTTCAAAGGCCAGATCCCCATGAATTAGCAAGTGACCAGCTTTTTCAACATATTTTATTTTGTAGAAAGTAGAAATTTTGATTCCCACATATTGGAGTTCATATTTTAAACACATTTTTAAAAAATTGTCATTTGGGGGTGTTTGTAAATCAGTGCCTTACATAAGACACAATCAGTAATTTTATATCAAATTATGTGCCTTAAGATTCTGCTTTGTTTCTCTCTAGTGGACAACACAGTGGTTGGTATTCCCTATGGAAGCAGACATATCCGTCTTGTCTTAAAAGGACCTGATCACCTGTGTAAGTAAACTCAGTTGTTGACTTTTGGATATTGGGAAGTTTAGTCATTATTGTTCTGTTTTTTTCCCCCCAGAAAAGATTAAGATTTAGGAATACAAATCTTAATTCTCTATCATAATATGATATTTTGAGTACTTCTATTTCTCTTTCAGTTGCCTAGGAGATAGCAGAAACCTCTCTGGTAATTACCTCTAACCACAGTCATCCTGAAAGATACAAAATTGATGCTTCCAATAGACTGTTCCTGAGTTAAGCACATGTTTATGATTTTGTGAATGTTATTTGTCATTCTTTCTCTTTTTCCTTTTCAGTCAATCTCAGTCTTTTCCTTGCCTCACCTCTTGTTTTTCTTCTTCTTTCCAACCTTCCCTCCCTTTTCTTCATTCTTTTTAATTTCTACTGTCATGCTCCATTACGTCATCAACTCAAAGGAACATAGAAACTCCACACAATCTTAACCCAATGGCATTTAAAGAGAACTATGTGGTCTCATTAAGCACACCAGGTAGAAAAGATAATGCAAGACCCTAACATCTTGAAGATAGCTTTTGGAATTCAGGATTGAAGGGTAATCATAACCCCAAAGATCAAATGGTAACGGGGTCCCACCAGAGCCTGGGCAAGAATTGATCTTTAGTCATGCCAAAGTACATAGTTAGTACATCTTTAGTACATAGCCACATCTTTTTTTTTTTTTTTTTGCCATGTAGTGATGTTTAGACGGAGACTTGTAAATCACAAGCAGAAAATTATAGGCTATAAACCCGGGAGAGAATAGGAGAGGATATGCCAGCATTCTCTGCAAAATTCACTTCCACTGAAAGACTTCTCTTCAGTTGGTCCCTTGAGCGTTTCTGATCTCCTCCACTGTGACTGTTCCTAGCTTCCTCCAGAGCCATCTATCATCTTCTGCTCCCTCTTCCCTCCCACACACTTGCCTAAGAAGCCAATTTAGGTAGCAAGCATTATCTTTTGGCAATTGGATTATAAATGAAATCATTCCAGAAAGACAAACAAGAGGGAGACAAATTGGAGCCTGTGAAAGTTCAGAGAGCCTACTGAAGTCTTTCTAAAAATAAAACTAATTGCATTTCATGGGAAAGGTGGGATGAGAGGTCATGTGACATAAAGGAATAAGTAAGGTACAGTCCAGGCAAAGTCAAAAGATTCTGGGAAACCACCTTATATGGATTCAAGTCCTTTTTTAACCCTGAACAACTCCCCAAAATATATTGTTCACATGTCCAAGGATGATATATGTTTGTACACTATTACCATTCAAATGATTTGTTTTTCCCCTTGAGAACTGGACAGAATTAACTGCTGGTATAACAACCTCAGTCAAAAAAAGTATTTTTCTGTGCAATGAGGGGCTAAAATAAAAAGTCTAGACCAGTCCATCACCAAATGGGGGACTTATTCCTCATTGCAGAAGAGAGGACCCACCCAAAGGAATAGATGTAAGAGGAAAATTCATTTTTATAAATGTAGTGGCATCCCAGACTTCCTAATTATATGATTACTAAGAAGCTGAAGAATTGGCTTTGTTTGGTTTAATTACTCTAGAGATTGGATAGGTGAAGATTCAGATGATAATCATAAATGATGAAAAGCAAAACAGAATCTGCTTTTTCTGCCAACAGGCATACCATTGATAGCATATGTATAACTAAAGAATTTTTGGTATTTGGAATATAACTCAGTAAAATAAATGTGTGAATAAATGTTGCCCTGTTTTTCTTGCAACCCTTTTATCCTTCAGTCCCAGAAGGTGGCCCAATATGAGTCCAGTTGTAAATATTTAGGGGGCTTCCCTGGTGGCTCAGATGGTAAAGAATCTGCCTGCAATGCAGGAGACCCAGGTTCAATCCCTGAGTCAAAAAGATCCCCTGGAGAAGGGAATGGCTACTCACTGCAGTATTCTTACCTGGAGAATTCCACAGAAAGAGGAGTCTAGCGGGCTACAGTCCATGGAATCGCAAAGAGTTGGACACAACTAAGTGACTAACACACACTCCAGGACATGAGTAGATAGTCTTTCCAGGCCCAGCCCATCTTTAGTCACAAGTATCTTGGGAAAGATAGCTGGGAGGCCTGGTGATGAAATTGAATCAGATACTCAGGCTTAGATCTTCATGAGTTTTCTGAAACTAAGTTAATTTAAGTACTGGAGATCCCTCCACAAATTAGCGAAGGCAGCTGGAGGAGGGAAAGGCTCGGGAGAAGAGACACAGAGCTATCGCTTTCCCCTGGTGATAACCACTATGCGTGTCCCACTCCATGTTGTCTGCATGTGCCTTATGTTCTTCTACGAGGTCCTCCCCGCACCGGTGCCTGGGTGGAAGGCCAGACCTACTCCTAGAGAAGCGCTGCTTGCCTTCATCTGGGACATGGGCATTAACTGGGCACCATTTTCTACCCACTGCTATTCCTCCTGGTGGGAAACCTGAAGTAGGCAACATCTAGAGTAATTTAGTGTAACTATACTGGATATCTTAGTGCCTCCAGAGACCTCAAAACTGTCCTNTTACTGCAGATGGTCACTGCAGCCATGAAATTAAAGATGCATACTCCTTGGAAGAAAAGTTATGACCAACCTAGACAGCATATAAAAAGCAGAGACATTACGTTGCCAACAAAGGTCCATCTAGCCAAAGCTATGATTTTTCCAGTAGTCATGTATGGATATGAGAGTTGGACTATAAGGAAAGCTGAGCACTGAAGAATTTGATGCTTTTGAACTGTTGTGTTGGTGAAGTCTCTTGAGAGTCCCTTGGACAGCACGGGGCTCCAACTAGTGCATCCTAAAGGAAATCAGTCCTGAATATTCATTTGAAGGACTGATGCTGAAGCTGAAACTTCAATACTTTGGCCACCTGATGTGAAGAACTGACTCATTGGAAAAGATTTTGATGCTGGGAAAGATTGAAGGTGGGAGGAGAAGGGGACGACAGAGGATGAGATGGTTAGATGGCATCACTGACTCAATGGACATGAGTTTGAGTAAACTCCAGGAGTTGGTGATCGGCAGGGAGGCCTGGCCTGCTGCAGTCCATTGGAGTCTCAAAGAGTCAGACACAACTGAGTGACTGAACTGACTGAACTGAACCATGTTTCTTCATGCAGCAGGCAATTATTCTAAAATACTCAATCACATGAGAATTTAACCTGCTTTGAAATATATATCAAAATTACCCTCCTCCCCAGCATGCTCTGATTTCCTAAAACAAAAGATGCTGCCTAGGCTTTGTCACTGGGCAAATTCAGATTGGAATGCTCCAGGGATCCAGAAGTTCTTCTCTCCATCCTAAGTTCTTACAAGATGCCATATAAGTACCCAAGACTGAATTTAAAAAGGATTTTAAAAAGAAAGAAAAGTAAAGAGGATAGTTAGTTTTCTGTCTTTAAGCCACTGTAGTTTTGTTTTGTTTTTTTTTTTCATTTTGAACAATAGCCCATGTGCAATAAGTAACCAGAAAGTATCAATAACTGCAAGGTAACACATGAATATCAAATTACCCAGTGAGTGCTTAAGGAACTCAGAGAGGTACCCTGGGTCTCATAGAGAAAAAAGAAAACTACTGGGTAAATTCTAGACTGAGGGCTGTAAAGACTGAAATCAGTAAGATATATGGGGGATGAGATGGTTTAGTCCAAAGAATATGGTTGTGGTAAATTAGGGTACCCAAATGAAGTCATCCAGGGAATTGGAGATTTTTTGACAGGGATCCCTGAATTCTTGGTTAATAAGTTTTAAAATAATTTCATTTGCTGCATCAATTCCTATGTGATCCAGCAGCACCTATCTATTTTGTTTCAATCACATTTCGAGTATGTCAGCCGTATAAAGAATGGTACTGCTCCCTGTTGTAGCTCTCGACCTTGCATGGGCTGTGCTTGCGTGTGGTCTGTGGCAGGCCTGGGAACATCTCTGTTACCTCTCCCTGTGTTTGATTACGTAGATCTGGAAACCAAAACCCTCCAGGGGGCTAAAGGTGAAAACAGTCTCAGCTCTACAGGCATCTTTCTTGTGGACAATTCTAGTGTGGACTTCCAGAAATTTCCAGACAAAGAGATACTGAGAATGGCTGGACCACTTACAGCAGATTTCATTGTCAAGGTGAGCCCATTTAGATACCTTGTTTTCAAGCCGCATCTGAACTAGTGTTACTTATAATCCCCTGAAGAAAGAGAGACTTTAGGCTTTGGCGTAGATTTGGAAAGCTTGTTATCCAGGAAATGTTTAATTCAAGGGTGTTGAGCTACAGGTGGCACAGTGGTAAAGAATCTGCCTGCCAGTGCAAGAGACTCAGGAGATACGGGTTCGATCCCTGGGTCAGGAAGATCCCCTGCAGTAAGAAATGGCATCCCACTACAGTGTTCTTGCTTGGAAAATCACGTGTACAGAGGATCCTGGTGGGCTACAGTCCTTGGGGTTGCAAAGACTCAGATGCAAATGAGCAAGCATGAGCTACTTTATAAGAACATGCAATAAGAACATGGAATAATTTTAAGGTTCTAGGAAGAAAATATATACACACATAGTACATTTATATATATTTGTGTGTGTGTATAAGCTAGTAAAAAGACCTCCCCTCAAAAAGCCAGCATATGATTAGTTCAGGGATACGTACCATTTTTAAAACAAACTAGGATACAGTCATTGACTCATATAAGGTATCCTCAGTCAAAGAGAAAGGGAAATTAATGATCCATAGACTTTATCATGCTTCCAATTGCAAGTTGTTTTTTTTCCTCTTGTACTGGCAACAAAGCCAAGTTGTTTCCTTCTATCAGAGCTTCCCTGCTCTTCAAGGTAATATGAAACACATTGCTGGAAGCAACATACACATTCTATAGGGAAAATGTATATACTCAAAGAAATGTTTGGGAATCCCAATAAAATAAAACATATTTTCTTTCCTTCAGTAGGTCAGAAGGACTAGAAGGATTTCAGTTGTAAAGCTGTAAAACTTGTAATGTGTCCAGGACTCCATAAATTTTTCATCATGGGACCTGAAGCCAGAGGACATGTGATTTAAGCCAAGGCTTGATGACCCCATGTCAGCTGGAAGTAGGGATGCATTTAGGAAAATGTGATGGGCAATGGGGTTGCATGAAAGAAGTGTTCCAGAGTTCTGTCCTCTGTCTCCATCTGCGGGGTAACCCTTTCTAATTCAGTCCAGACGCCAGCTACATGACCATGAACAAGCATCCACAAACCATCAGAGATAGCTCACAAAAGAAATGACATTGTGGGTAGTTAAATAATTTCAGTTTAACAAACAAATACAGTAAAAGAATGAGAGCTATCTTAAGTTTTTGAAACCCTTAGAATAAACCCCTTACACTAATTTACCTCGTGGCCTTGTAAGAGTTAATACACATACTGAAAATATAGAATTGAATTCAAGTAACATTATCCACATTGGAACAGTTCACAGAATTGTCAAATGCATTTCACATGGCCAGCTGCCTTCTGCACATCACCCACAGGGACAATGAGCTCAATGTGTCCAAAATTGGACTTGTCTAGCCCCAGAAACCTACTTTATCTTCTTTATTTCTTGTGGAATACCACACTGTTTACCCAGCCAAGTCAGAAACCTGTGATTCACACCATTTCCCTTCTCCTGTACACCCCTAGTTAGACATTAAACTTTGTCAGCTCTACCTCCATGCCATCTCTCAAGACTGTTCATTCTTCTCCGTTCTTGCCACCAGTCTCTTAATTTAGGTCTATGTGTTTCTCACCTGAATTAATGTGATGGGCTCTGAATTAGTTTCCCAGCTGATGAGCCATTGTCTATACTGCCTTCAGAGTGAGTTTTCTAAAAACCAGAGTGTTTTCCCTGTTCATGATCCTGCATTGCCCCTCACTTCCACTCCTTGCTTTGGGACTAAAATGCAAAGCCATAGCCCAGCATGTATAACTCTCAATAATCTGGATTCTGTCTACCTTTCCCACCTCAGCTTTGAGTTTCCCTCTCCTGTTTCAGTCAACTGTATGACTGACAAGTCCCCCAACATCTTGCACTCTTTACCTTCACGTAATGCTGTGTCCTCTATCTGCAATGTTTTTTCTTCTTGCATTCTCTTCCCTAACTCATATTTGTACTTCAGGACTTTCCCTTTCCAGAAACATCTGTTACTCGACCCTAGATTCCAATTTACATCACATCTCCCCTTTGTGTGTTTCTCAAAGACAGAAGTATATCTGTCTTCATAGCTCCATGAAAAACCCAATAAACACCAACAAGTGCTGGATGAATAAAGGACTTTCACCACCCGGCAGTTGCTGAAGTGGGACAGAGGTGACATCTTCTTTCTGCCTGCAAGGACACTGAGCCTGAGGGAAGCTGAGTGATATTCCTTACCTCAGGCCAATGACAAGCCAGGACCAAAGATCATGTCTCCTTTCTTCTGTCTCCAGCTCTTTTTAGCCTTCTGTGTTGCTTCTAAGGGGGCTTCCCTGATGGCTCAGATGGTGAAGAATCCACCTGCAATGTGGGAGACTCAGGTTTGATCCCCTGGGTCAGAAAGATGCCCTGGAGAAGGGAATGGCTAAGAGGGCATTTTTTTCCTCTCTGTGTATAAGTATATTAAAGGAAAAAATAACTTTGGGGAACTTCGCGGTAACTTCGTAGATCCTAGCAACCTGTAAAATATCTTCTTTCAAAAACAGGCCAAGCTATCATTTTAGTGATGTTTTTCATTATATCCTGTTTGGTGACCTACCTTCAGGTTGCAAATGAGAGGAGATGAAAGTTTCATTAGAAAAGATCAGAATCAAATAAATGTAAAATTAGTATAAAATAGATTATAATTTTTAAAATCCTTTTACTCAAACTTGAAAATGAGCAAGATAATATAAGAAGATATAAATAAAAAGAAGAAAGTTACTTTTATTCCCAGTGATTTATAATGAAGCAACCTTTTCTTCCTTAATTTTCCCCAGGGAATAGCTGAAACTGAAAGATTACCTTTTGCTTACTTATCATCTTTCATTATTTCGGTGCTTAAAAATTATATACACAGTTTATGATTCAGTTTTCAGTGTCATTCAAAGTATAATCTCTTTTGCATTATACACTTATTTAAGCAACAACTTCCTTTCTGAATGAAATACATTGGGGTCAGAATGGTACTTTGTCAACATCTCCAAGGAAGTTTATTGCCAAAATACCATTTTTGCTTTTTTAAAAGGAAAAGACTTTTTGTGTGAAAGAAAGATTTTTCTCACAGTGAGAATTGCTATATATTATTTTTTGGAATCTCTTTTTCTGGCCACCTTTACAAATGGACTAAGCACCCATCTGTCTTCCTAGGAAGCCATGTCTTCCAAAAATTTGTAATTCATACGTTGGCTGTACATTTTTGGCAATGCTATTGTAGAAGGGTAAAAGAGATAGACACTCTAGAATTATGTATATTGTCCTGCTTACTGGAGGTGTGACCTTGAGTATGTTGTTTTACCTCCAAAGCCTATTACTTATTTGAAAAATGGTAATAAAATCTCTCCACATAGAGTCTTTGTAAGGAATTGAATGAGGTAGTGTGTATAAAAGCAAATTTAACTGAGTGACTTCTTTTCCATCTTTTCAAATGCTTTTTTTTAACTTCTGGTCAAACCTTTTACAATACTCTCTGTACACCATGGCATACAACCACTTCTCTGAAGATGGTCAGAGGTTGATCGATTTACAAGTGGTATACCCAGGAATAGTTTGGTAGGTGTAGCTGTAAGACAAATGGATGTAGGCACACCTGTAATCACATTAATTGTTGAGGATGATTGGCTATTGGCTAGATAATTATCTGGCTTAGCATCCCCTTCTTCCCCTACCAGGCTATCTTTTCAGAAGCTACAGACCCAGTAAAAGATAAGGACCTTCCCAGATAGAAGAGGGGTTTTTTTAGTCATAGTCCATCCTTTTTCAGAACATTGAATTTAGCTCTTCTTGTGAAAGCAGCTAAAGCATACTTATAAATATTCAGTTTGAACCGTTTTTAAAATTTAAGAAAGCCATATTAGCAGAAGAAAAAAGTGATGAGTGAGTACTTAAGCCATCAAAGTAGCCAAAATACACTGCAGAATGGGCTTCCCAGATGGCTCTAGTGGTAAAGAACCCACCTGCCAATGCAGGAGACGTAAGAGACGTGGGTTCAATCCCTGGGTCAGGAAGATCCCCTGGAGGAAGGCATGACAATCCACTCCAGTATTCTTGCTCCTCATGGACAGAGGAGCCTGGTGGGCTATGGTCCATATGGTCACAGAGTTGGACACAGCTGAAGCGACTTAGCACACACACACAGGCACTGCAGAATAGTAACCAATCATCATACTCAGAACTAAGAACAAGAACACTGATTCACAATTCATGTACTGACAACTAAAGAACAGTTATTTCCTAGAGAGAATAATTTTCTAAATGCATTACATTTTCATAGTTGGGGAATTTGATTAGGAAGATTGATAGCCTAATTTTTGCCTAAGTACTCTAAAGAATAGAAGGCTGGTGGTTTCTATTTGCAAAGTTAGGATATTTAAGCAGAGATGACGCCTTCATATTTCTTTCTGGACAGACTTAATCATGAAAGTGAAAGTGAAAGTCACTCAGTCGTGTCTGACTCTTTGCAACCCCAAGGACTATATAGTCCATGGAATTCTCCAGGCCAGAGTACTGGAGTGGGTAGCCATTCCCTTCTCCAGGGGATCTTTCCAACCCAGGGATTGAACCCAGGTCTCCCACGTTGCAGGCAGATTCTTTACCAGCTGAGCCACAAGGGAAGCCCAAGAATACTGGATTGGTAGCCTCTCCCTTCTCCAGCAGATCTTCCTGATCCAAGAATCAAACCGGATCTCCTGCATTGCAGGCGGATTCCTTACCAACTGAGCTATCAGGGAAGCATAACCCCATACATAATAAAGCATCCCCCAAATTGTTTTTATTAGAGGCGAAACAATAGGTGGGGCTCCTAAGCAGAAATCACATACACAAAGTTATGAGAGTTCACTTCATGAAGTAAGTTTACAGAACTTCCATGTATATTCTTCTTTAAGGAGATACTTCATGCATGGGACAGCTTGACTTTGAAATATGGTATCCGCCCTTTCCT